GTATCCGAGTCATGTAGGTGCATCAACTGCAGTGGCTACCCGGAACATCTGCAATGCTATTGCGCGGTACACTACTGTCCGTCCAAACGGTCGGCTGCCATAGCTCGGATGCTTGGGATCCCTCAACCATCGGCCATTGAACTTCCGCCTGTCAAACGTTCGCCGGGCTCCTTTCCTTTCGCCAAACGCGATTTCTATGGGATTCCCAAGTTGAACGGTACCAAAGATAGTACATACAAGATGGTCCACTCAGCCAAAAAAGTGTCCGCCGGAAGTCCGCTCTTTGTTTCAGATGGCGCTGCAGTCTGTTTTGAAGCTCTCTTTCGTTTTTCCAGAAGAAGAATAGAAAGAGCACCTCCTTGCGTGCGCAGATCGACTGCTGTTCATCAGCAGTTCGGGTTCGTTCAGTGCGTAGTTTTAGGTTTTCAAAAAAATTTACTGACCTCTCGCCTTTCATTCTAAAACCAAATTAAACGAAGAAAACAATCACCCCTTCCTCCGGAAAAGATTATTGTCAGCGTAACCATTTTAAAAAAGCGCTCTTCCGAAATTTATTCAAAAACTTGCTAGTTTCACTTTGATTTTTTTTAAACACAAGTAGGGTAACTCTGTTCGCAAAGGGTGCGCATTTGCGAAGAAGGCGCCACCGAATTTTGAGGACACTTTTTTAATTGGCTCAAAGAGAGGGGTGGCCCCTTTTGTTATGTAGACTCTTTGACGGTACGCCTTTCATGAGACCCGGCAAACGCGATCTTATTTCCACCTACCGAGTAGTAGTCAGAGACGTGCCAGAGTGAATTCTAGATTCCCCGCGTTAGCAAATCTTGTGTTTGATGTAAGCCTGACGAGCCGATTCCTTGGAAGACGAAGAGCAACCGAGCACTGCTCCAAAATGATTGTGGGGAAAAGGAGATTTTTTTCCTCATTTACATTAACAAAGACAAGAACCACAAAAAAAACCCAAAAAACTTCCCCTCAGTTTCGCTATTGAAACTGTAGGTCATGTCGATGAACGTCGGTGATGAGCTGTAATGATAAAGTAGTGTTAAATTTATTGGCCTTTCATAGAACAAATAACAAATAAACCGTAAGAAAAAATTAAACAGTGATGGGTAAGAACGCTATTTCTACATGGGCCCAAAAAATCTATTCTGTTTATTTATTTATTTATTTATTTATTTATTTATTTGCTGTCCAGTGTTGTTTCTTGCCATTACATTATAGAAATAATAAACAAATTATGAAAACTACTCGTTATGATTTGTGGCATGACTTCAGCTGGAAGTCCTTAACAAGTCAGTAATTTTATTCACGATGCGAGGCTTCCAGTTTAATACCGAGTGTACACTGCCAATCGAATCCATTTGATAGAGTCGGGGCAGCCACGTTTCCCTTTATGGGTGGGGCATAGGCTATAATTTTGGCACAATGCGACTGAATTCGTTATGAGTTCCAAAACCAAACGTATTTGTTATTCTAGTTCGTGAATCAAGTCAGTCCTATTGTGCCAAAATGGTAGCTTTTCACCTCACTGGAAGAAAGTCTTGCTGACCCCAACTCAGTTCTGCTGAATCCAATTGGCAGTGTGTGCTGGGTATAAGCTCCATTTCCGACAGGACCGCCTCAAGTCTGGGAGAAAGCCTGAATAAAAATATAAAAAAGACCAAGGTGTAAGAATGACCCCAGGTGCCCACTTTGAAGATATGATAAATTGATAATTTGGTTGAAATATGCCAAAATATGTAGTAGTATTTGCCTTTCCATGTAAGAAAACCGGGTCCTCTATAACAATATCAAATTGAGGTTTGATGAACCTTTTCTGCCATATGCATTGGGTATAAGCGTACTTTCTTACGTGGTCCGTAGGAGAATAAGTATCATTGCTGGATCCATGAAAGGGTTGGCTTGCTGATCGTGTCAGTTATCAGCTGGTTGGATATTCTTCTGGTTTTTCCACCCAGAAAAAAAACAACTATAAGCTATCACCGGTGTCTGTGGTGTAGCGGTTAGACGTTTACCTGTCGCACGCAAAAGAGCCGAGTTCGATTCCCAAATGGGGAGAAATGCTTACCGAATATCTCCGTCTTTCCGCTAGGATGTTGCACCCCTCTCACCCAAGGTTGGTTCTGACAGGCAGGGTCAGAAACCAGCCTCCTAAATCATCTAAATTGTATGGATGGGAGCGCAAAAACACCTACATTACGTATTAAACACACACACAGACAAACACACTCACACATGCATACACATACATACACATACACACACTCTCTCTCACACA